TAATTTCTGCATAATAAATAAAAAAAAAAAAATGACTCAATAAAATAAACTATTCTGAAAACTATTGTTGTGAAAAACAACATAAATGTTGCTTATATTTGGCTGCTAGTCTGGTTGTTAAGTGCATTTGGAAAACCAGAGTTATATGTTTCATGATATTTACGAGGCATCCAGGATCAACATAAAACAAACTGCATCAAAAAAGAAACTCAATAACCCAAGTGCTTTCAGAAAATGGACTTTCCTTCCTCATCTGCAAAGGGCAAGTGACTACTGTAAGCATGCTGATTAGGTAAATGGTCATTGTACCAGATACGAGACAATGGCAAGTGACTACTGTAAGCATGCTGATTAGTTAAATGGTCATTGTACCAGATGCGAGACAATGGCAAGTGACCACTGTAAGCATGCTGATTAGTTAAATGGTCATTGTACCAGATACGAGACAATGGCAAGTGACCACTGTAAGCATGGTGATTAACTAAATGGCCATTGTACCAGATGCGAGACATCATAGTTTCTAAAAATATGATCTAAATTAGCACTGCACGTGTGTGTGATGTGAAAAGGATTGGTTTCTTTTGAATTTAGTGCAGAGAGCTATTTGGTTATGAATTTATATGTGGGGTTTTACTGTTAGTTGTCCTCACTTGACAGCACTTACTGTCCAGGTTTCACAACACATCAAGCACTACAAATGATGTATTGAGACTAGAGGAAAGTCAGCTAGTCAACACCACCTACCACCAACTCTTGGCCACTCTTTTACCAATGAACAGTGGAATTGACCATCACATTATTGGGATTGACTATCATGTTATAACACCCCTATGACTGAAAAGGTGACCATGTTCGGTGTGATGAGGATTCAAACCTGTGACCCTCAGATTGCAAGTCGAGCGCCATAACCATCAGGCCATGCCAGGCTGTGTAAGGGATGGGAAGCAAAGTTAAGAAAGAGTAGTTCTGTTAGCTGTTATTACAAAACTATCCCTTCTCTTTGTTTCCCATCATTTACAAATCACATACACGAGCAATGCTATTTTACAGTTTAGGTCACATTTTTAAAAATGCATGATGTCTGACTTCTAGTACAATTGGCCAACAACTGATCATCTTGGTGAAAGAAAGTTCACTCTCCAAAGATGATCAGGTTTCATTTCTGTTACTTAAAATCATATAAAAGACAAACATTAGATAACATATTTAAAGTAGTTTTACTCAAAGCATGCTAGTATCTAGCATTAAGAGGAAGTATATACTCAAACTTTTGTTAACCACAACTGAGGCTCTTGCTCAATCACTTTTTTATATTTTAAATCAAACAGTAAATCATTTTTATCAACATTTCCAATTTTTTAAGAACAAAAATGCAATGTATAAATCAGTGATGTAGTCAAAAGACTTTCTTAACTACCTTAAAACAATCAAACGAAGAATTTAAAACAACATTTTCATTATTACAAACCTCTTTATAATGATAACCAGCTTAAAATAAAAAAAGTTTCAATATATTCCTTTTTAAATGCTTTTTGTGGAGTACAAATAAATGTTTACTATTTTGTTTTGCCAATTGGAAAAAAAAGTAAAATATGAAATCTTTCAGCACATTTCTGAAATAATTAGTATGACAATAATTCCATATTTCACAACATACAAATCATTTGTTTTGTTTGAGAAAGATATTTATTATATTAGTTATTTATGCTTCAGCTAACATTATTCACTAATGAAGTGTATTTTTTAATGAAAAAGAATAGTGTAAGAAACTCATAGTTTATATATTAAATTATATTGAAGACTTAATATTTTTTCAACTTGCTTAATAGTAAGAAACGTTTTACATTTCTTAACACTAGAAGGATTTTTAGTAGGGACATCTGCCATATCAGTCACAGATATGGTTATCTTAAAAAACGGGTAATATTATAAATTGTAACAATAAATTTATGATTAATTTTTGAAACGCTTTTAATCATAATATTTCTGTATATAGTAGGTTCATGCTATAGATCTAAAAATATTGTACTTGACCCTATTAATGGATATTGCCATTACAAAGGACGTTTAATTAAAAATTATCCAAAACCATACTACACAAAAATTACATGTATACATGTGCCCTAATATCATGATATAAAAAACTGTTTAGTGTAGACATTATTAATTTATTTATTTTGTGAGTGAATATTTTATGATTGTTTAGTTTTGTTCATAACAAGATAGTTAGAAGCAATTATTTTAAAGTAAATATTATGACAAATTTAGTTACGTACATCGGTAAGAGTTGTATGTTGTGTTTGTAATTCATTGATGTCTAGACTATAGAACTTTGCCCGAAATTTATTTATGTTGAGGATATAGTGTGCAGACAATTAAGTGATACATATATAAATAGTGTGAGATGAGTGGGAAAAGTAGACAGTCAGACAAAAACAGAGCAGATGAGAAGTAAAGTAATGTTATGAGAAGGAATTCGGCCAAAGAAAAGTTAGACATCGTAGGAGTGGAAGATCTAATGGTTGATATATATTAGAGTGAGACTAACGGTGTTGAAAAAGATAAGAAGAAGAATTTATTTTGTCAAAAAGAGATTTAAAGTATTTGAACTAGCCTCAGTGGCCTTTGACAAATAGACAGACGATTCTCGGAAATACAAAGACAGAAAAAGGAGCAGAAAATTTTAGAAGTATAGGATACAAACATGGTAACTCGATGATAAAGTAAGTAAACTATAATCCAATAGTTTGGTGATAATAATAGAGAAAAAATAGTTAGGCTTGTTAACTGAAATTCTAAGGAAATTGAATAGGTTTAAGTGGACTTTTGACAAGAAGAGAACTATATATAGTGTTTATGATATGCCTATGATCTCCATAGTGTAAAGAATTTGTTGTATATACATTTAACTAGTTCCAAATATTTCTTTTATTTTGAAAACAAGTGGAGTGAGTGCTGTTTGTTTATTTTTGAATTTATCCTCAACAAGTCAAAGAAACCTATTGTAGAAGAATCCTTAGCCCAACAACAACAACACAGTATATATTTATACTATTAAGAAGCATAATTGGTGAACATAATTTAACATCTGACACCTGATAGAAAGTTTATTTTAAGACAACTAGAAGTAGTCTTGAAATAAAGCTTTGATACTGTGTTGACATGTCTTTTTTACATAGTACAATTTGTTTTGGAAACACAAATATAATAAAATAAGAAGAAGCTATACATACCTCCACTGTTTTCAGTTGATTCGTTTTTTTTTACTCCCAACTGAGAGCTGACATCTACATTCTCTAGAATATCACCTGTTGAATATTTACATGTTTAACAAGGATGTCTTTTAAAAATCATGCAAACATACAAATACTAATTTTTATTTTATTTAGAACAATAACTGCAATACCAGATCTTAAAAGAAGTATAGAAAACATTGTGTATATCACTTGTTTTTAAACATACTTTCATGTACATTTAAAACTCATTATAATACAGAGGTCAGCTTTTAATATAAAATATAAATAGATATTAAACTCAGAAACTGTTGTTTACATTAAGTCAAATATCAATATTAAGCAATACCAGATTTTAAAAGAAGTATAGAAAACATTGTGTATATCACTAGTTTTTAAACATACTTTCATGTACATTTAAAACTCATTATAATACAGAGGTCAGCTTTTAATATAAAATATAAATAGATATTAAACTCAGAAACTGTTGTTTACATTAAGCCAAATATAACCTACACAGAAATACACATATGTTACTAGAATATTTTTGGCAATGCTCAGTAAATTCTAAGTAATTATGACTCTGACACAACAACCAGGACATCGACTGTGGAATGCAAAAAGAAGCTTCACTTGGATAACTCATGAGTGAAAAGCTTTTATAATATCTTTTTTTAAAATACATAGCTTTTGTAATCTTTGATCAGAAACCCCTGATACTTTATGATTTAATGTATAAAACCTATTTTTGATCAGTACAACATTTAATTTTAACGTGATACTGCTAATTAATATAGTCAAGTTTATAGATCATGATATAGCACAACATGAACATTGCCTTTTCTTCCAGATGCTAAATCTTCTAGCACTTCTTCATTAGCTCAGAATAACAAATATAAACACAGCAGCAATAATGCCTGACCTGTTTGTTCGTGACTAGAAGATGTTGATTCACTTCTTGTCTTTGAGTGTTTTGTCTTGGGTTGGGCTGCAATAAAGATAATTTATAAAGATATTATTAAAAAATGTATTGTTTAATACATTATTAATTATGAATTCCATCATATTATCTAACCTAGCTTCTATACATCCATATAGAGTAAAATGGAACCTCAGAAAAAAAATAAAATTTCAGAGGTTAAAAGATTATCCTTTTGAATTTAGCTTTATATTTAGATCAAACTCATTTTTCATAGAATTTTATTATTTTTAATCATTACATCAAATGTTGAATTGTGTATTAAGTTTACCTTTTTACTTTCTTTTCTAGTAGGTATATAATATTCAAGAAACATCCATATGCACTAAAATTACTAGCTTCTAGTATGCAAGGGAAAACTAAGAAAAGTGTTAACAATATTACAGAATACCATGTTTTGACCAGCATTTTACCAAACTTCTATGAAAATTTTGATTACAATTATACTGTCACTAGATAAACAACTTTGAAGAAGTTTTGGAAAGAAACTAGAAGAATAACATTCCCCTAAATATATAAAATTAGGCAAAGATTAGTATTTTGGCTTATTTGTTAGGTTAGTATTTGTAAAGTTGGTAATACTTACAAATGAGGGGTAAAAACAAATATTTGAAAGAATCAAATTATTTTTTCATTCTGTGAAACTTAAAAAATACCATACACTTTTTTCAGTTCTAAGCTTGAAAAGTTTAGAACTTGTAGAAACAGATTTATCTTTAATGTGTTGTAAAATCACAAGTAATCATACCATTGTAAGTTGTAAATCCCTTGGCAAATTTGCAGCTCACATTACACTATTGAATTACATTATGCACAAGCTATTCGTGAACGTAACTTGTGAAATTTTTTTATCATATTATTATTCATTTCACCTAATCTAACCGTAACCAGATTTTTACATTTTATTTACTTTTATAATAATAAATGAAGAGTACATAAAAAGTACTTACTTGGGTCTTTTAATTTTTTTACTATTGACTGTCGATGACACCTAACCCTACTTTTTATACTAAGGGTAGTACTGCACTAAATCATTTTTTTATTTAATTAAATAATGCACCAAGAAACACAGAACAATATATGTGCAAAAACCAGATGATGTCCCATAACTATCACACTTTTTATGGCTTTTCTAACTATGCAACGAGAGCCGTTAAAACTTCATCTAAGCTAGTTAATCTGTTTCCTGCAAGAATCAAGCTTGAACTGAAAGCAAAATTAAGTTCTCTTTACAGAAAACAACATAATATAATACATCGTTTGATAGATGAAAACCTTGGCTTTCTACTTGTTATAAATGATACAGTATTGAATGTCAGAGAGAACTATTGGCAATTTCTGAAAGACAGGATGTGACAAGTGGGAGTGGCAATAGGGATCTGGTTATTTATATCATGGCTCTGTAACCAAATAAAATTGAAGCCTATAAAAATTATGCATTGTCCGAGTGATGACTATAATAAGTAATTTCGTACTTCTTGGAGGGGATGCCTAGAGAGTGAATGTTACAATTCATACCAGTCATGTAATCATGTTGATGTGCAAAAAATATGTTCTAATTTTATATGTGAAATTCCTACAATCATGCACTGAAGGAAAAATAAACTTATCTCACATATGGTAAAACTGGTCATAAATATAGGGAATATCAGGAGTAGGAGTAAGCTGAAAATAAGTGTGCATGCAGTAAAATGATATGTATGCAGTGAAAATTGAGTGTGGGGATTTGGAAAAAATGAGTGTAGATACTGAACCCATCACACATGTGATATGAAGATAGGAAGAAAGTGAGAGAACAATATTAAATAATGTGCCTGTCTTCCATGATTATGTCATAAACTGAATGTAATGTTCCATTAGGATGAAGTAGAGTGAATAGTTTACATTTATATTCCATTAGCAGTACATAGGCTACAAACCCATAGATGGTGACAGGTCACAATGAATGGTTTGACTTTTTGTAATAACTTCATTTAACAGTTACAGTAATTCATTCCATATTGTTATTCTTAAGTAGCACTAAACAGAAAAAAAAGATGTTTTCTGACTTTATGTAATAGTGTATATTGCTTTGGACAAATATTCACATATTGTTATACATAATAATGAATTACACTTTCTATTAACTAGGTTCATTATTGTATAACTTTTAACTTTAAAATCTGGGGAACTTCTGGTCTGCATGTGTGAGAAGAAATAAAAAATCTGCTCAATGATTTGCATTTACTTAATATTTTCTGATATAATGAACCATTTCAGATTTACTGTAAACTACAAGATATTCCTGTGGCAATTAATTTCAAAACCTGGCTGCTGAAATTCATTAAAACATGCTGCTAATAAAGATCTCTTGGAAATAGTAAAACTTGTATACTAACTACAGAAACCAAAACCATACACGACATTTTTCACAGAATTACGAAATAGAAAAATAATATTTGAAAGTCCCTGATTCAATATCAAGAACAATAATGCATGATTTGAGATATATAATTTCCACTGGTAGATAAATACTGATATCTAAGGATAGTTTCTGTCCAGGAAAGGCACAAATGTAAAAGTCAGCAAACCATAACAATACAACTTTTTGTTGAATCTTGTATTAATCATTGATTTGCCTTTATACCACATTTTAGCTTTTGTGTTATTTCCATATTTTTTTAAAAATACCTAAGTTAGAGTGCTGGCTTTAAGCACAGACAAGACTAGCAATTTTATGAAACTTTCACTAGTGAGATATAAAAATAACATTTAAAATTAAAGTATGTTCATACTGTTATCTTATAAAAGTACAGCAAAATATGTAATATTTAATGCCTTAAAATAACAATTAGACAGCTAATTCTAGTCTTAATTTGAAAACTCTTTTTTGGGAGCATAAGCACTTCTACATCTTATTAGTGGACTTTGAGGTCAGATTACTTTATTGCTTAGATCAAAATATCTATAATCCTCTGTGAAAGACTGCTGTATCCCAATGAGATGAAAAATAGAAAAGCCCCGCTAATAAGCTTTGTTTCTGGCTTAGGATTAATCAAATTCAAAACTTACTGTATAGGTTTCTAGTGAAAGGTGGAAGAAAAGTAAATGAAACAGATTTTATCATCAGAATATTCAAGGACTTAATGCTTTTGTCAAAAACTAAGTATTCTCCAACTCTTAATCCTTACATAGAAAAAATACATTTAATGCGTATATTCTCCAATCAGATTATGTGTACTTTTTCTTCTTTGTACATAAGACTTATCTGTAGAAAAACCAATTTTATAACCATACACTTTCCTCAGAGATGCTAATGCAAGTTCAAAACCAAATCTCTCACAAAGTGTGTGCTTTTTTATACAACCTCTTGAGGTTTATGCAATGCATACTTAGGTTTTCTTTTTAATGTTACAATATAATAATATCTATCTAAGTTCTGACACTCAGAAACTGCTTGAAATCTGTAATAAAATAAGTAGTTAGCATTCTAGCCTTTACATTTGTCTATATCATAACTTCAAAAATAATAAATACATACCATCAACCAGTCTCCAGTTGAGTAAAGGATCATACACAAAAGCTTCTAATACAGCCATTAAGCTGTCTTTATTTTCTCGCAAAACTTTCATAACATTCTTACAGGTAATTTTGTATGTTCCTTCAATTCCTGTCACCTAAAAAAATATATATTACTTGCTAGTTTATTTATGGTAAATACAAAATCTATTACTAACAACAGAGTTGCCAAAGTACTATATAAAATACATCCAAGTTTTGAAAATTTAGGTAATAGTAATATAAAAATATGTGGACTTTGGTTGAACTGTTTAAAAGAAAAGCTTGCACTGGCTTTAAGACTTGTTTCGTCTGTATATACTTATTTGCTGATGTACTATGTATAAGTAAATTTAATGTTAAAATGTGTACATGTATATTGTATGAATACTAACATATCAAAGTTATCTAAACATTTTTTTATTATTTATAAATGTTCTGGGAAGATCTTTGCACAAGTTAACTGTACTTTACAAGAAGGATGTTACAGATCCTATAATGCCCTTGCAATTATTTCCTCCATTATTACTTACACTTATAACGATGGCCATTACACACTAAAGTCTAACACTGTAATTTCTACTGTAACAAGAATTTGTGAAAAATGATGAGGTCAATCTTTTTTGATACTTCTTGAAAAACGTTTCACAAATCCTCCATTATATGTGAATCTAAGCTTCCAAAATCATGCTGGTCAAGGGCACAAATGTCCATTACAACTGTCCTGGAAGACTTGACAGGTTTATGGCCGAATGACACTGCACTGATTTACATTTCTCATGAAAATAAGCTGTTGACTTTAAAATCTTGCTAGAAGCTTGTGAACTTTTGATTCATGACCCTTTTCAACTTGAAATCCTTGTTCATTATTTTGTTCATGGTCTCAGCTTTAACGAAATAATTTTTAGGGTTTAGAGAGTTCTCTTCTGTAACCATGCACTCACTTTTCAGATGAAGTTGTCACTCTGGGTTGGCTTCAGAACGTAGTACTGTCCTAAGTACTCTGCTGTGCAAGTTTTGTTTCTTGCTTCTGTGGAGAACACTGAAGGATCCTTCTTTGTAATGTTGTGTCCATTTTCTCAACATCATTTAACAATCCTTTATATGAATATCCTTCCTTGAGAATGGTTGTGACATTCAACAAGCCATAATTCTGCTTGTGGTGACAATGAACTATTAAAAGGTCACAGATTCACAATGAACCAAATATAAAAGTACTAAGTACATCACCACTACTGAAGTAACACATTAATGACTGAGCATATACAAAGTGTGATCAACCCCCCAGATATACAATACTACCATGTGCATGGTATCTCAACATTGATTGTTGTTGGTATAATGAGTGGTGACACATGTAATACCAACATACCTATAGTACCTACAGTATTTAGGTTTGTTTAATCTAAAAACCTTTATCTGTAAACATTTCTTTGCTGGTGTATTGTTATTAGAAAGTTTCACAGAATAACTACACAACATGTGTGCAATAGTTATGGCATATTTCAATTCATTCATGTTAATAGATTTGTGATTACATTAATATATATATGAAAAAATAATAGCAAAAATTTCAATTTAACCTTTTAAAACATCCCTAAATAATATGGATTCTCACAAAATCTACTTGTTTTGCTAAAATGCAGCAATAAAAGTTCACCAAATGACCATTCATTTCCTTAGTGTTTAGTTTTATTTTGTATCTAATTTAGGTGTATGAGAAATGTAGACAAAATAATTGTGCTGACAATAACTTACCTCCATTGCATTGATTAACATTCGAGTTAAACGGAAAGGGATCTTTTCTGGGAACTTTTCTCTCGTCATTGCCACTTCAAAACAATCTCCAAAGTCAATGTGAAGAATTTTACCACTGAGACGGTCAAGCATCAAGTTGGATGGATGTCTTTGAAAACAATTCAATTGAAAAATCATAAAAAAAGAAGTAACAATGAAAATATGCTTATCTTTACATCAGAAGTTCATTTTAAATGACTTTTTATTACAACTACTGGTAAATATGCTGAATTTATAAAAGTTTACTTTCTAAAGTTGTAATTCTTTGTTCCATTGAGCTACTCTATAGCTGTTTTAATTTTGTTAAGCAGCCACAAATTAACACTGGATGAGAAAGTAGTGGAATGACTACATTCTTCTGTTTACAAGACAAATAAAAAATTGGGAATTGGCACAAAGAGCCCATTATGTAGCTTAATGCTTAACAATAAACAAACATAATATGATACTACAATTATTTGAATATTTAGAATAACTGAAAATTGTAATAACCAGAAACTCCAATTTCAATTAGTTAAAAAAGTAAGGAAACAAGGCTAGAGATACTATAAACATTATTTACTCAAACTAAAAACCCCTATTTTGGCTCCATGTTGTTACCTACAATTACATTTGATGGAATCAAAACAGGGATATGTAGTTTGAGTATATAATGTCTACAGTATCTCCAGCCTTGTTTACTTACTTTTTTGTAATCCATATTTGCAGGTTTTTAAATTCCCAATTTTTTATTTATCTTGTTTGCTGGTTTTTTTAATGCTCAACTGTGGGCAAAGGATTAGGTGATATGGTAACTAACTCTACACATTGTAATGATAATATATGTTTCTAGTAGCTAGCTAATACAGTTCATGATGATTTACTATAGCTATTGACTACTTGATTGTATTAATTTGAGATGTAAAATGTTAAGCTGCAGCTGGAGATTTGTTTGAGAATATAGTGAACATGTATAGTTTCTGTTTAACTAAATTCTCTATATATAATGCATATTAATGGGCAAATACATGCTTTGACTAACACACAACCCCCCACTAAGTGTGTATAAAATTTTACCAGTAGAAAAGCAGCCTTTTCAAATAGAAGATATAGATTTAAAACTTTGCTTTAAATAAACCTGTGTGTCTTTTAAAGTACTTATTCTATGAATGTAATAATATTTAATATTATGTGCATTAATTTTTTTTACTCCTTCACTTCATACATAATATAGGGGCTGGCTTACTAAAGACACCAATTGTATAGTGTACAATTGTGCACACCACGTATATGCACACACATATACTTTCAATTGCAAAATTCTTCCATAGTTAATTTGTAGCTGAGTTTTGAAGTCTTCTTACAGCTGTTAGATTAGGTGTATAAGCCAATGAGACAGCTAGTTTTTGTTCAGAAGTTACAACAACAACAAAAATTAGAACTATAATTTAATACTAATACAAAGAAAGCTGAATCTTGAAATGTTCATCAGCCATGAAAAACAAAATGATATTTCTACATATGCTACAAATTATTTACTCACCTGTCCCCTAAGCCTAATACATAGCCCACCATTGACATCACAGCCAGAGATCTAGAATAGTTGGTCCGTCGATCAAACCACACCTACACAAAAAAGATTATTATAACCTCTGTAATTATGCAGGTTAAACACTACTCAACTTAAGAGTATTTTATATATCTCCTTTATTTAAAATTACTCATACATAAAAAAATAGTAAACGGTATAATTGTATTCATTCTTTTAATCAACTTTTATTAAAGTATATCAACTACATTTAAGTTATGATTTAAAAAAAATTCAAACTCTATCTAATTTCACATGGATATATTTGGTCTTATTCTAATAAGTTTTGACTTTTTCTTTCGAGAAAAAAAGAAAGAAAAACAAAATTACCAATAAAACTAGTCAAAATCATTTTTAAAAAGCACAAAATCATTAAAACATGATAAGTAAAAACTGTGAAAAAGACATAAAGCAAAAGATGTTAGGAAAGTAACAAACTTCTGAGCTGGGACTCTTCAACCAGAGCAACTTTGCTAAGTCATCACCATTTGTATGTTCCAGGGCATGTTCAAATACTTCCACTTTTTGCATCAAGGTCAGGTGGTCATAGTCTGGTGCCATCTAGCAAGTAAAAAAGCAAAATATTAGTCTGGTCTTTATTTGAAGGTAAAATTTCAGGTTAAAAATATAAAGTTCTTTTTGAAAACACATGTCAGGACAAGATCTAAGATATGATGCCAGTATATCAAATACAGAAGATACTTGTTTAATCATTTTTCTAACAATACAAATGCTCTATTTCTGTAACCTTTGTTGCTTGCTGTTGTGTCAAAGCTTTTGCACAATCAATGAAGCCCCACTCTTCCAGCAAGTGAGTAACAGCAAAAGCCTAAGCCTCTCCAGTTCTAGAAATCAACTTTGAAACACCTGCTACAGACAAATTCACTGGCAGGCAATACATTTGTTCTTTCCCTGAGAGATAATTAAGGAGCTTGCTATCCAAGTGAAGTAGAAGCAAGACCAGACAAGACAAATTCTTCACAGAAGTGATGTTGGACTGAGGAATGGTTGATGGTTAGTTTTTGTACATCATAAACAAGGCTGTGAGCTCTAGCAGTAAGAACAAATGTTGCTTTTCTATTACTCAATTTGGTTCTGTCCATAGCTGCTACTAAAATCAGGACTGATAATATATTTTTTTGCCCTTTATTTAGATTTAGAAGATGACGGTTCTCCAACTGCTCCTCTACTCTCAATCACTGTTGTTGGTACAGTATCCACCAACTTCATCATCACTGCTGTGAGATGATTCTCAACAATTGAAATTACATACCAGAAGGAATACTCTGGAATATTTTAGAATATGCTACAATATTGTAGAATGTGTAAGAATAGTCCATAATAATATGCTAGAACATTCCAGAATTATTTAGAATATTTTGGATCATTCTAAAATATCCAGAATATGTAGATACAATGTGACTTACAATGCAAAATTTAAAATACCTTGAGCAATCCGTAAATGTTATTCAGTAGAGATAAATTTTCAGTGAATTACTTATTCATATAATGGAACAAAATGAAGGGGTTAGTAGTGTGAATAAAAACTTCAAAATAAGGATTCACACAAGTATCTTGCATGTTCACAAAAATTATCTTTCATACTGTTCTACTCACATTATAAAAAATTCATGTTAATAAAAACATTTTATTTTTCATAAAGATTTGGTTTGACAATATTTTATTTGTTTAGAACAATTATAAGAAAGACCTGTTTCCCTTTGGTTATTTATATAAAATCTATCTACTATACAAATATCAAAAGCCATCTATCTGTCACATTGCTGTACCGATTGACACACAACTTGCACAAAATGGCTACGCTTTCTGCTGAGACAAACAAGTTTGTCTTTTTAAAAATTTTCCAGACATATATATGTATATATAAAATGGATAATGTATTTTTGTGGGCATATAATTAGATTTGAGGGTAGGTTGGTAGAAATAGTGATGAGTAATAAAACTGAAATGGGTATACATGCCCCCATGCTTGGTACTACTGGCACACATATATCATAATCACTGGTTGAAATTCCACATTACATTTGCTTCATTGACAAGGAGAGACACTGACACAACACCACTAAATTTTGTCCAGTCGGAACCCTTGGCTACAACTTTTATAATAACCCGCATGTTTTACCTGCAGCACATTTCAATTTTGAAAATGCCCAAATTAAATTGTAGTTCTTCAGCTTAGCAAACTAACAAAACCAAAACCAGGAAGACAGTCCAAAGAGAAGACCCAGAAATTCATAATAAAGTTAACTGCCTATACCATCAGAGTCATACAGTTGACCAAGTAGGAATATGTTTTTGAGAATCAGTTTTTTGAACGTTTCAGTCTGTAAGGATTTATCAAGAAGAAAATTTGAGGATAACTTAAAAGTATACAGAAGTCAAAATGCTAATCAAGCAATACTTGAAGGAGATGACCAAATAAATATACATAAAAGTGTTGTTTTCGTGAAATACTAGAAATAGGATAATCATTCTCCATTGTATGTTGTTACTAGATTATAATCAATTTTTAAAAAACATGTTCATAAAACTTTTAGTTAGATATAATTTTGAGAAGAAAAATTAATCATTTCCTGTCATATGATGGGCATTCAGCTTGTATATCTATAATTTTAAAATACATATTATATATATATATATATATATATATATATATA